CCCCTGCCCCTGCCCCTTATGTTCCTTCTGAGATTGAGGATGACCTCCTTGATGAGGATGATGTGATTGAGGTTGAGTCAGATGATGAAGATACTGCTAAATTTCTGACCAGTGATATCACTCCCTCCCAGGCTAAGCCAAAGACATCTCAGGAGTCTGAGCAGATGGACACTACCCCTTCCTCGGGTGTCCAGTGATTTGCCTTGTTGTGTGTGCTCTTCTTGGTCGCTACTTGATTTGGTTTGTGCTTTTCTTTTGGTTTGGTATAGGGTGAGCCTGTTTTAGGCCCCTATTCCTTCCTTTGTTGTTTCCCCGTTGCTTGCCTAGGTCTTGCCTGTCTGGGCCTTTCCCTTGTGGATTGTTTCTTTTTCTCTTCCTTCTCTTCTCTCGGGGCTCCTTGGCTTTTTCTGGTGGTTGTGGACTCACCCCCACCCGAGTGCTTTTTATCTTGCGTTTAAGCGTTTTTTTTTGCTTGATCTGGAGGGGTCCCCCCTCCTTATAAAAAAATGTTGAGTTCTTAGGAGTACTTGATGAGGGTAGATGGTAACCCAACTATTTGGGGTACCTGACGAGGGATAGATGTTGGGCTCTTGTTGTTATAGGTGTAATCAATGGCTAATGGTGAGTTATGCATAAACGGGAAGAAGTGTTAGAGAGAGTGGGTTATGGCCAGAGGCGGACCCATAAAATATTTCAAGCACGTGCAAAAAAGAGTTAGCCTAATGTAAAATAAACATATATTAATTATATAAATACAGTTTCATTAAAAATGACATACAACGAATTTTTTGCGTCATCTAAGTAGATCTTTTTTTCTATCTTATATCCAATAACATTACCAGTAGACTTCAACCATTTTTTTTATTAACTTAGAGGATACCACATCAATTTAAAAACAAGTGCATTTTTAAGACCCCTAAAAGAATTTATATTGCGTCGATATGATAGTTGTAACATACCAAAATTTATAATAACGGAAGCATGAAAAATATTAATAAATAAAGTCGTAGTTATTTATTGTTATGGAATAGAAAGGATTTAAATTTGTAAGTAATTATGGAGTATTAATTATTTTATTTGTAACAATGTAAGTGAGATAATATAATGGTTGGAAGGTATTATTTTTGGGGATCAAGATGGTCAAGTCAAAGATAGAAATTGGCCAAATACGAAAAATTAAAGACTCAGAGAAATGGAGGTTACCAAAAAAAATTGATTTCTCTTCATGATTAAACCGAAATTCCAACCTATATAATATAAAGGGCCTTTGGGGTTTCCTTTTCTAAATACAAACCATACAAATAACTTTACAGTAATACGAAAAATTAAAGAGTCAGAGAAATGGAGGTTTCCTTTCTTTTTTTCCAGCCAAAATCAGGGCCAATAAGCCATCAAATAATTGGAAAACGAGGAAAATGATGTTTTTATAAAAACTGAAGCTTTAAATAGGGGTGAACATAGGCGGGTACCAGCCCTCTTTGACAGAAATCGGAATCGGAACGACAGTTCTTGAGATATTGGAAAGAGCGGTTCTTGAAATTTTTGGAACCGGAACTGGAACCGCCAGAAACCGGTTCCGATCCCGGGTACCCGCTTCCTAAAATATTAAAATTTTGTTATTTAGAAATAAAAAATAAAACATTGTCAATACACTAAATAAATGAACAAGAATACAAATTATACGGCATAATGGTTACAAATACTATTTAGCGATTACAAACTATAATAGACTAATAGTAAATATTGAAAGTTTAACGATTACATACTATAATTGTAAAAGTTCAAAGTTTAATGATTACATACTACGAATCCAATTAAACACGCAATTTGAAAAAATACGAATCATTTTATCTCAAATTATGAATCTAGAGTTCTAAGTTATTTGACCTAATTTAAATTTAGTATTAAAAAAATTAATTATTTTTTTTAAATTGAAAAATATCAGGTACCCGCCGGTTTCGGTACCCAGTCCCAACGGGTAACATTCCGAAAAATTGATAACCGGAACCGGAACCATTCTCAATCGGTTCTGTATTATAGGAACCAAAACCACTTATATCGGTTCCGGTTCCGGAACCGGCAGTTTCAAGGCAGTTCCGGTTCCGCAAGTGGGTACCCGGTTCCGCTGCTCACCCCTAGCTTTAAACATGAATTTATATCTTTGAGTGATTCTTGTTTTGGAAAGTTGGGGAAATATGTTACGAAAGTTTTGCAAAAAGAATCACGTAAACAGTCGAGAAACGAGATCGTACGGATCAAAACGGTCGGTTGCCGCTGCAACCAGGTCTTGCTGGGGCTCCACGGGCCAAACCTGGGTCTCTGGAACCGGGTATGAGAGAGGGATAGTATTACGACTGCACATGGTCAGGTTGTCTGGGTTGAAGTCATTTGAACAACCTAACCCAATGTTTGTGGTTTAAAAAATCTCAATCCAACCCAACCCAACCCAACCCAAGCAAAACTACAATCCAACCCAACCCAAACCGTGCAGGTTGGTCTGGTTGAAACATACAAAAAGGATTGTTAACATACAAAAAAAAAAGACTAACAAACTCAAAAAAACGAAAGTTGAAGTCTCATGCAAATAAAAAAGTAAAATTATGGTTGATATTGTAATATAATTTTGAATATAATTAATTATAGATTGATTTAATATCTAATGTATATCTATCATATTAAATTTATAGTATAAAAATACATCGAGTTGAGTTGAATTCAAATAATTCCAACCCAATATAAATGAGTTGATCTAATTTTGTATCAAGTGTTCGGTTAATTGAATTGTGTTTTTTTGGTTTTTTGGGATTATATCTGTCGGTGTTTTGAGCTAGCTGGTATTTGTTAAAAGGGCATTTTGGTGAATTGGAAAAGGTCTTTCCCAGCGTGGTTAAATAGCAATTGTAGTCGAAGGAAATCTCTCACAAGCTACGATGGTTTGCGATAAGTGTAAGTCCTCTCTCTTGATTCGTAGTCTTTTACTTCAATTTAAGCGATAGATTCGAGTGTGTTTGCAATGATCTCGGTGTGCTTGTAGTGTAAAAATTAAATTTGGTGTTAAGAATTTCCTAGGGTTTGTAATGATTGGGGCTGAATTGGAATAGGTGAGAAGAAATTGTCGAAAGTAATTGTACCAGATAAGTGGAAAGAAGGAGCAAGCAACACCACTGAAGGCGGTGGCCGTAAGATCAATGAAAACAAGCTTCTCTCCAAGAAAAACAGGTAATTTTTTCCTTCCCTTTTTCATGATTCCAAAAAACCTAGAAAATCTTATTCAAAATTACTTGAAAGTTTCAACCAAAAACTTATGGGTTCCTATTAAGAACATCAAATTCTATTTCAACGACAAGGGTAAGTTGATCTAGGGCAGTAACCAGGTAGATTGTGACTTATAGTTATGGATGATCCATCATCTATGGGAGTATTGGGTAAACAGTAAAGTTCAAAACTGTTAGTTTGATTATTTCTCTAGCTAAATTTAACAATCATGAGATTAAATAACCTGGTATCTTTGAATTATTGGAATTTTACTTTGACATGATTATGCCTTTTAACTATTTTTTGTACCGGTGAACTTTATGAAACCTGGTTTAGTTGATATTTTATGAAAACATGAATTCATCTGGCAAAGAATATGCTAGTGTGGAGTAGAGAATTCTGTTTTGCTTACCTCTTAGGGTTTTGAATGAATCATGAAATTAACATGAAAGGAACCACAAGGGTGGTGCCTGATTGGTTTGAGCTTGGCTCCAAAGTACTAGGAGGTTTCAGGTTCAAATCCAAGGAGGAATAAAAATCCCCTTGTGGCCATGGAGGCCCAAATGCGGTGACTCCGGGTTATCTGCAAAACAGGTATTCATCCTAGGATTAGTCGGCTCGCATAGCGGGTTGGATATCCAGGTTAATAAAAAAAAGTAGTGAAAAGGGCGTTAATGGTTTGGAAGATGACTAGGAGAAGATTCTGGTAGGAAATTTATATAGCTTTCTCCATTTTCTCTTCTTAGAGCTACAAATAAATAGTGATGTATTATGTATGTTCATGATTTGCACTAGTTGCTAGCAAACTAAGGGCCTGTTGATTAGCAGCTTAATGAGCTAATGGGACTCGCTGCTTATTTGGTCAGATATAAGAAAAAGGAAAAACGTGAACGGGGACTGGATTGATGATGAAATAGCAGCACGATGCTTGTATTGCTCTCCCACAACCCCGTTTTTACATGACTATTTGGTAATGGCTTAATGATATAAAAAGTGGCTTATTTAGTAAGCTTCTAGGGAGAGCTTTGTGCAGAAAGCCAAGTCTTTTTTCTAAACTTGCCCCTTTCAATTAAAAAACACACTCCTTCCATCTATGGAAAACACTTCCAAGCAAAAGTCTTCATGGAACATCAACCAAACAGCCCCTAAGATAAGTTAAAAGATAGTGGAGTTGGGAAGCAATGCACATGTTGAACCAATGAGATCTTTTGTTAAAAATTTGACTAGCTTACTATCTCATCTCAAACCATGCTTACATAGTTAGATGTCACAACACTACCAACCTCAAACTGTAACGGATACAATTCATAAGTCTCTCTCCCTAACACCAAAGGCATTGCCTGGTGGTAAGGCTTGATGCCTTGATTTGGGAGGTCTTAATCCATGGGTGCTATCAACTCGTTAAGAGGGGAGGACCTACGTAGGCCTCTATGGTGTAATGGGCCACCGCTTCATGGTTCCGGTTTTAAGGAAAAAATCAGGTTTCTGAAGGGTGCCACCATATAGTTTTTGAAATTGAAGCTTTGGCGTAAGTCTCTAATAGCAGAGTTGGTAAATGTTGTGCACTTTTCAGTAATGTGACTGACACATGCATGAATAAAAGGTCCTTTCTTCTCGTAATAAAGTTTATGGAGATAAAGAATACCATTGTGAAAATTTGGACTTTATTCAAATATATTGATTTATCAAATATTTCCATTCTATAATTCTGATCATGTTTTCATTTGAATCATGGAAACTCCCCAAAATAAATAGATATAGATATCTAATCCACAACCATAAATACCTTTACAACCTCCACATGAACTTCATATTTGTTCAAAGTAACCGGCACCAAAAGGGATGAGACCATCTTGCAATTATGATATTATTGAATATGTATCAAAGCTTCTAGCAAACATGTGCAGAACTTTAGTTAGATTTTGTTGCTTGAGGATTATTACTTTATAAAGCGAGGTATTAGTAACTGCATGTGGCCACAATATCATACGAGAGGCTTATTGATGCAATTTAAACAACCCAACACATCATCTCCTTCAGAGTTTGATTGTGGGGAGCCCTCCGATACCCTAATCTCCTCCCCATATACAACCTCTTTCTGAGGGCTTTTATCTCATCTTCTCAAAATCATCTCTGCATACATGTCGTCTCTATCTCCTCCATGAGGTACTTTGCTGCTGCCACAATCTGTACTCCCACAGTAGCCGAGGCTCCTTCCCATGGGTTTGAACCCACACCCAATGCTGCCTTGCCTGTTAAAGCCGCCAGCTGCCCTTGTGATCTCTATAACCGCTGCCGTTGCGGCCCCTGTGATCTTCATAATTGCCACTGCTGCAGCAATCTCTTCCCCTGATCTTGTCGCCTAGTGCCTAGTGTTTCTTTGTCACCCCATTGGATTTCGATTTGCCATCATTTTTCAACCCTGGACTCACACCGTTGCTCTTGTTCTTCTTTCTGCCCCTGATTACGACTGTCGTTCCCTTGTCTTTGTTGGTTCCGCTTATTGCTGATCCCTTCATGTCTATACCTTCCACTGTTGGCCCCCCTGTATTCTGACTTTGAGTTCCATTATTTTTCACACAAGCTCTTCAATTGAAGTGAGTTTGCAGTCCCATCTTTTCTTCTAATTCTTTCAATTTTTTGCTGCCATCAATTCCAGAAACCACACCACTCTGTTACCAATTCTCTCCATGCTGCTGCCAAACTTAAGCTTTAGAAAATTCTCAATCAAATTAACCACAAACAGAACATCATCTTCTAATGCCTAATCTAAGTTATAGCAAGTTGTCTATCAAACATACATATGATTAACACATATTTATTGTAATTGCGATCTTATGTAAATTTTGTGATTTGCATTACTTGGTCTAATTGTTGGTGTGTAGATGGACACCATTAGGAACAACCAAGTGCATCATCTGCAAGCAGCAAGTACACCAAAATGGCAAGTACTGCCATACATGTGCTTACTCAAAAGGTACATCCCAATCTATATATTTATATTTATGTATGTATGTATGTATGTGTATGTGTATACATATATGTATGCATGTATGCATGTATGTATGTATGTATGTATGTATGTGTGTGTATATATGTATGTATATGCATCTCTCATTTTCTTAGTTCCCTAGCCCCTACCTCTGTGTTGGTTTCATCCATCAATCCATCATAATTTGAATACCATGTCCTGTAATGGCTAATGGATGTGGGTGCAGGGGTTTGTGCAATGTGCGGTAAACAAGTTCTGGACACCAAGTACTACAAGCAAAGCAATGTGTAATACAAACTCCCATCAGGATTTTAATTGTAATGCGATCTGCAACATATTGAACATCGCTCTTTCTGTTTATATGGTTGCATGATGATTTGTTGCATTTTGATGATTAGAATGCTCCCTCCACAAACAATGAATTTGATTTGGGTTTCTAGACTTGAGATATGAATACTACACAAAAAGATGTTCCCCATACACTGCACTGCATCAACCCTATAACCATTTACTTTATGTTGGGACCAGCTGCATGCAATAATCGTAAAAAGTGGATTAAAAAAAATAATGCAATTCCTAGTTTAAAAAATCTGAAAATTTTCAAGTATTATGTTCTATGGAATTGAAACGGGGGAGTTTTAAGAAGTCGTATGTATTAATAAGTAGTACCCTATGCTTTATAAGTTGTTTTTAAAAGCTCTTACCGATGACTTTATAATGTTAAAGTTTAAAAGTTGTTTATTAAATATTTACCAACAATATTAAAGCGGTTAAATAAATGTATATTGTCTCTTTACCAACAATATTAAAGCAATGGAAAACAACTACTTTAGGTCTTAAAAGGAAAAATGAAATTCAGATGTATGAATCGAACAGGTTTGATTATAATTTAGAAAATCATGCAAGTTGCAGTAATTGTACCATTATTTAAAACCTATTGGTTGATAAAGCAATAACTGTATTATTACTGTCTAGTCATAAGGATTATCTATATTACGATTGTTTTTGAAGGATTTAGATTTTATGTAGAGATTTTGATTGGAATGAATTTGAAATTATTGGTGTTTTTGATTTGTAGGATTTGGAATGAAATTAGATTTCATTATTTATAAAAAATTATAAAAATAAATTATATTTTATTTATCGATCGATTATTACAAAACAAATGTTTTAACATTTATAGATCCTTCTTGCATATAATCCTACGAAATGCCGTGAAATTCCAACCACTCCTAAGGATTTCAAAATCCTATGTTTGTATGATTTCAATTAAATCCCAGGATTTCAAATCCAGACAATCCAACAAACCAAACATGAGATTGAAATGAATTTGAAATCCGAATTCCTCAAATCTATTTCATTCTTGCAAACCAAATGGACCCTAGTGTCATCGTGGACTTGTCCCGTAATTATAACTTAAGGAATGTCATTTTTACTTGATATTTTAATTGAAAAAGTAATGTAAATTGGTAGATGTCAATTGCATAATTTTGGGCTAAATTGGTTAATGGCTTCAAAATGTGGTTGTAAAGTGAGGAAGGATGGTCAAAAATTACATATTCCAGTCGATTTTTTTTTATTAATTCTAATTAACATTTTTATGAACGACCGGTTAATAACTCATGTATAAGTTTGAAAATTGGATGAAAAATCAACTTTATATAATATTTGGTTTAATTTTGCAAAATCACATAATTTATCGTGAAGTCTGATTACCGATAAAAACAAAAGATTACAGATTTAAAATATATTTTTAAATCTAAATCTTTTAATTTTTGTTTTCTTAAAAATAGTATAAAAATGACTTTGATATAAAGTAACAATAATTTGTTTCGTGGACCAAATGCAACAATCACGAAACACAAGCCCCAAACTCTTTTAAGTAACTCTATCTATACTACCTTATAAATTAGATTTGATAAAAGTCTTAAAAACAATCTTAAATACATAAAGTATTATTTTTTCAAGCACAAAGTCTTAAAGTCTTAATTACAATTTTAATAGCCTAAGTTACAACTCCAATGTACATAAAAAGCCTTTTACAACTCAGATTTACACCCCACCCACATGATTTGTACTGACGATTCCTTTTTGCAACTCAGATTCAAACGACGGATGTTTTCTTCAAGATGACGATTGCTTTTCTCCAAGACGACGATTTAGCTTATGATGCAGGTTTTATTTGTGTTATCGCTACTTCATGGGTCCCCCGTGCTCCATCGATTTAGGTTTTTTTTTCTCGCTTCTCATAGGATTTCAGGTAAACATTTGGTTCGATCTTCTTTGATTTTTAGGTAAACCATCAATTTCTTTGATTCTTCCTGTTTAATTGCATATCATCGATTTTTACTCCACATCTCAATCTCTTTCTGTGTGATTCTTACTGTTTGATTCTCGCATTCTAGATGAGAATAAGATTTCTTATGTGGGATCTTGTTTTTCCTTCAGGGAATCGCCCAATTTGAAGTTTGACCTGGTATTTTTGTTATTTTTGCTTTATATTCTTAATCTAACCTTCAAATTTAATTGTAGTGTGACTATTAAATTTTGGGTTTATTTCCGAAGCCCTAATATGTATAATCAATTTTTGATCCAACATTTTTTCTGTTACACATTTTGTCCTTATAGGTTCCAATACTGCTATTGTTGAGGGTGATGCAAGTTTTTCCTTTTTTCCCCCTGTTGCAAATTTTCTATTCTTTTATGTTGAACACAAATGCTTGGTCAAATTGTTAGGATGCAACTCTTCAAAGTTTTCTTGTACAATACTTCTGTAATATTCGGTTTCCAGATATAGTTGATCGGGTTTTAAAGTATTGTGGTAATGGAAATTTTGGGGTTAAATTATATATATCATTTAAGAGTTTTATAGAGAATTTACGGTAGGTTTCTTCATAGATTATGATTATATTGGATTATATTTTTTGGTTGGAGGCATTGGGGGGGGGGGGGTTGCCTGCTCATGCACCGCGCCATCTCTTTTCTTGTCTACTTACTATTTATAGTAAGTGTAAGTGATGGAAGAAAGTTCTTTTGGACAATTTCTTTTCTCTGAAAATTTATCTAGGAAAAAACTTGGGAGATCATAGAGCAAAAGCATATTCCAAAACTGAATTTTAAGACAAAAGTGAGTTCTATGTTGATTTGGATATCTGGTTGTTATGATATCACCATATATCTTGATAAATTTATAACATATGTTGTTTGGATGAAAGTTTAAATTGTATTACTGCTGCTGTTTGTTTCATTGCCCGTTAAACCTCCCAAGAACAACTCTCATCGGACAAGGCTTGTCCGATGAGGTCCCTCATCGGTTAAGGCAGTGACCGATGAGGCTACTTCATAGTACATCAGATCATCCGGTTAGGACCCTTCACCGAATATGTATTGTCCGGATAGGACCCTCACCGATCAAAGTTGTCCAGATACCAAGTGTTGTCCGATAACCCTTCACCGGTCAGAGTGTTGTTCCGATAAGTTTATAGTGTTGTCCGGTAATCTCCTCTCCGGACATAGTGTTGTCTGGATAGGACAAAGTGTTACTATAATTTCTTTAATAATTAAGTATTACCTGGTTAACCGTGATAGATGAAATTAAGGTCCAGGTTTGATCTATCTTGGGTTTTGAAGTAAGTTATGTTTTGTGAGAGGGTAATTCACTCACTAGGCCTTTTGGTCTAATGCTCAATTATTGTACTAATCTGTTTTGGGGTTTGGAGTCTAATCTCCGGAAGTATATAATATCTAGAAACCCGGCTACATTTCAAGCAGCAGTTGATGCTGCAGAAATGTTGAACAAGATATCAATCGTCAACCACAAGAAAGGGTTAGGGATAAAAGGAAAGGGGAAGTAGTAGCAATTGATTTTCGAAGACCTAGATTTGCTGAAAATCTGAATCAGCCAATCTCAAGGTTTGCTGATAAAGCATGTGCACGATATCATAGAGTACACCAAGGAAACTGCAACACTGAGTCACGAACATGTTATAAATGTCAAGAATCAGGGCATATAGCTAGAGATTATCGTATGGTACGAAGATGCTTTATGTGCAATTCTTCTCAACCTGTAAATGCTGACTGCCCGCAAGCTAAGGGGTGGGGATTTTGTTTTGTTGGGAGACGAGGATCTGGCTATGCTCTACCCAGTCGCGGGCCAATGGTGAATCATAATATCCCTAGCGGTCGTGGGGAAATAAGACGTGGCGAGACAATGGCTAGAGGACGAGCCTTTCAGATGACGATAGGCGAGGCAGAAGAACATCCTGAAGTGGTGACATGTACATTCTTTGTTAATTCAGTACGTGCCAAAGTTTTATTGATTTTGGTGCAAATCATTCTTTCGTGTCACCATCGTTTGTTAGCTGTGCACCTTTAGAATCTAAAGTGTTAAATGAGGTATTGGTAGTAGAAACAACAAATGATAGTGAAGTGTCAGTTAAAGAAGTTTTTAATGTTTGTTCCATAAACGTAGAAGGGTGTGAGGTACCTATACAGTTCTTTCCTATACCATTAAGAGAATTTGATATAATCGTGGGCATGAACTGGTTGGCTAACAATCAAGCCAACCAGTTATAATTTACGGTGATAGGCTAGATTTTTATTCCAACCTTATCTCTATGATAAAATCTCGAAAGTATGTGTAGAAAGGATGTATTAGTTTTCTTGCTTACACAATTCATTTAAGGAAAGAAAAGAATAAGATGGAGGATATCCCGGTGTAAGAGAATTATCAGAAGTATTTCCAGAAGACCTAATAAGTTTACCTCCTCATTGATCAATAGAATTCCAAAATTGAGTTATTGCCTGTAGCTGCGCCAATTGCTCATGCACCATATAGATTAGCTCCATTAGAATTAAAACAATTAATGTCACAGTTGAAATAATTATTGGATAAAGGTTTTGTCCGGCCAAGTACATCTCCTTGGGGTGCATCGATGTTATTTGTGAAGAAGAAGGACGAATTGATGAGAATGTGTAGCGACTACCGGGAGTTAAATAAATTAACAATCAAGAATAAGTATCCTCTCTTAATCATCATAATGATTTGTTTGATCAATTGGTTGGGGCTACTTACTTTTCTAAGATTTATTTATGATTTGGTTATCATCAACTGAAGATTCGAGGAGAAGATGTGTCGAAAACGGCATTCCGTACACGTTATGGGCATTACGAATTTTTGGTTATGTCGTTTGGACTTACAAATGCACCTATAACATTTGTGGACATGATGAATAGAGTATGTCGTCCATATCTCGATAAATTTGTGATTTTCTTTATCGATAATATTCTGATATACTCTCGATCAGAGGAAGAGCATGCACATCATTTACGACTGCTTCTAGAATTATTGAAACAAGAAAAGTTGTATGCTAAGATGTCAAAATGTGAGTTCTGGCTGCGGGAAGTCCAATTTTTGGGACATATTATTTCGGAGTTGGGAATCAAGGTGGATCCTTTAAAAATGAAGCTATTGAAAAA